AGAGATCGAAATGGGGGAGTGGATGGGGGTATAGAAGGAGGGGAGAGAAAGAGGGGGTTGCGGTCGCGGTTGCGACTGCGGCTGCAACAGCGGCATTAGTAGCGACAACAGCAAAATCAGCAACGGCAGTACACAATCACCATTCAGCAACGGCAGTGGTAACACATAGCGACGGCGGCCCGTAGCATCTGCGGTAACAACAACAACAACAACAACAACAGCAACAACAACAACAGCAACAGCAACAGCAACAACAGCGGGAGAAGCGGTTAATATAACAGCTACGATTATCGTAGACAGTGATTATGGCAGCAATAGCAGAAACGACAGGGAACAACAATAGCAACGGCAGAGTAGCAGCAGCGGTAACTGCAGTCACGGCAACAGCAGCGGTGGCGAGCAAAACAATGCAGTGTGTGCAAATTTGTATTTTATTATATATAGTTGAATGTTTTGCGGGGAGATGGAGGGTTTAAAAGAAGAGGAATATACGTTTTTTTTTTTTGGACTGCTGCTATAAAATTTTCTTTTTCATTCTTTCTTTTTTTCTTTTCCATCCTTTTGTCGTTTTTAATTTCCTCATCTATTTTTTTTTTTTTTCTTTCAAATGTTTCACGTTTCTAGTCGCTTCTAAACATATTGCTATGATGTTGACATGGATATAGTAATAAAGCGGTAACTGGTTATTCAAATCATTTAGCAGCATCAGAAGGAAATGATCATCTAAAATAAACTTTCTTTTTCAATTTTTTTTCTTTAATCTATGTTGCTTTGCATTGCTTTTACCTATGCTTTCGGTTTTACGCATATTATGCTTTATATGTGAATTGAAATTTAGTTACTGTGTGTGTCTGTGTGTCTGTGTCTGTGTTTGTGTATTTGTCTGTGTGTTTGTGTGAATGTCTTTGTGTCTCTGTGTGGATGGGATGGATGGGATATATTAAATGTTTCAGCAAAAAAAAAGAAAATGCGTTTTTTACTGATGATTTATTGTAAGCATTTTTACTGGTCTTTGAACATTGCTTTAATACTTTTGTCTTTTAAATATTCTTTTTTTTTTTTTATCGTTCTCCTGTTATACAAAATATTTCAATTTTACTTTGTTTTATTTTCTTCGAATTTTCTTTGCTTCCATTGCCCCTATTGCCAATTCTGTTGCTGACGATGGTGCTGTTCTGTAGTTGACTCTTATATGGCTTATGAATATAGTGTGATTTTGGTTTCAGCAATGCTTTCTTTTAATGTAATTTTTTGTACACCCAATTGGATGGTTAATTAGTCAGCTAGTAATGTTTGGTAATGATATCAACATTAGTATTGCTGTTGGTAGGGGCGATAATGATGTTTGATGGATAAGTAAACCTACAGAAGGGATATGTAGGCAATACTATTTCCTTTCCTCCTGCCTTTTTTTCATTAGTTTTTAGCGACACTTAATTCTTTACAAGATTCCCAGATTACTAAGTCATTAGATTTCCGTCTCACTCTTGTTTTCAAATTGCATTTATTGTTGCTGTAACCAGTTACATTTTTTAGTTTTTATGCTTATTATTTTTTGCTGCTGTCAGTATATTACTGTTATTATTACCATTATTATTAATGCCATTATTATTACTATTATTATTATTATTGGTAGTAGTAATAGTAGTAGTAATAATAGTAATAGTAATAGTAGTAGTACTAGTAGTAGTAGTAGTAATAGTATTAATAGCATCAGTTGTAGTAGTAATAGTGGTGTCAATAGGATTGTTGTTGTTATTATTGTCATTATTACTACGATTATTATTGTCATTATTATTACTGCTGCTTTTTAGTGTTGTTGCTGTTTTTTCTGCATCACTTCACTAAAGTGGCTGAACTGACGACTCCAAAATTGACTGCTGCTGGTGGGGAAGTTAACTGACTCAGTGAATGACTATACCCAAAACTGTTACTTTCCAAAAATTTTATGTTTTTTATTTATTTATTTTTTTTTTTGAACTTTTCAATATTTTTTTTGTATTGAATTGAAAGGGAAAAACCGAGAAGAAAACAGAAGAGCTGTCGTCGTAGGTTTTTTGTGTTGGTGATGGCGTTGATGGTGTTGGTGTTAGCGATAGTGGAATATTTAGTTGGATAGGTGGATGGATGGGTTGATGGGGGAAAGTGGTTTACTATAAAACATACCAATGTGTTAGTTTTTTTTTGCTTCTCATTACTTAGAAAATTGAGGAAATTTAAATGAAGAAGTTTCTTATCAAAAAAAACTTTGTGATTTATACTTTTGCAACAAATTTGTTTTTGTCAGTTCTGTTTTCTGTTTTTTTTATTTGTTTCTGAAAAAAAAAAA